GCCTATGTATTCTTATAATTTTTTAATCACTATAATAATAACTTATGAGGAACTTTGTATTACATTTTCAAGTTTTTTTGGCGATCCAACATTTTTTTACTGACACCGACAAAAAAATTCTCATAAAAATTGAAAATTTCAGTAGTGTAATAACTCAAAAAAAGTCAAAAATGACAGTGATTAGTTTTTAAATTACAACCATATAAAAAAATCGATTTGGTCGAAAACTGGTTTTGCGTAAAAATTCCGTTTTTCTGTCACTTGTTTTGTTGTTTTTATCGATTTTTTTGAAAACTGTTGGAAAATTTTTACTTTTGACCTCTATAATGCACCAAGGATATTCACATTTCCACCAGAAACCATCCCCAAAGTTTGAAATTGAAGCATTATTTTGACTAGTTATGTTGTACATAGACAAAAAAAAAAAACACATCATTGTAAAATCAATACATTCATCACTCCGTTCAGAATTTAAAAACTAATTTTTTTAAATGCAATTACTATAATATTATTTTAATTAAGGAGATTGGAAACGTGATTTTCTGTCTTTGTCTAACACACACGTGGAACATACAATACGCCTGACAAAAATTAAGGTACTTCTAGACTCTAGTTGCCTGATTTAAAATATGTAAAGATTTTTGAATTGGTATACAAGTTTACCCTGCATCGGTCGAAGCATATTTTTAATATATTTAATAAAAAATTTGCAAATTCATAAAATTTAAAATATTTATTCTTATCAAAATATTGCTACCATCGAAAAAGTGCTTCGACCGATGCAAAGTAAACTTGTATAGTGTATTCCAATTAACATATCTATACATATTTTAAAGCGAACAACTAGAAGTACCTACCGTAATTTTTGTCTGGCGTATTCTACTCGTATGTTTCACATGTGTTAGACAAAGACAGAAAATCACCGCTTCCAATCCCCTTAAATATAATTTGTTTGGAAATCTATCTAGGTACGTATTTTGCACATATTTCAATGTTTTTTAACTAACATTTTTGGTTTTATCCAATGTACCTATATTGTTTGAAAAATAGCTTTTTCGAGTCGTAGGTACTCAGACTGATTGGATGAACTGGAAAGTACAATTATTATTACTATCACAAGTATATGGTGTTAATATTATCAAAATACTTGAAAATTTAATACAAAGTTCCTCATAAGTTATTCTTATAGTGATTAAAAAATTATAAAAATACATAGGCACGATTTTTTTTTATTAGCATTTGAAGTTTAAATATTGACTTAATACGTAAAAATTACGACAAATTTCAAATTATCTTAGATCGAAATTCATAAAAAATGTTCTTTTGAATTCTAAGATTTGAGAATTTAATACAAGGCTCATAATATAGTTTTGCAATAGCAGWTGAAAAATAAAAGAAATATATAGCCACATTTTTTTTTTACATGCATTCAAATTTTAATTTTGACAACATACGTAAAAATCAC